GATAAAGCTCATTGGCCACAGTGCAAAGCTGAGGGAGGCCTTCCAACAGCATTAAGAATCTCTGCTCCTGGGCACCTGGGTGGCTCAGTGGGTTAAGCAGCTGCCTTTGTCTCGGGTCATGATCTCAGGGTCCTGGGACCAAGCCCCGCATCGGGCTCTCTGCTTAGCAGAGAGCCTGCTTCCCTCTCTCTCTCTGCCTGCCTCTCTGTCTACTTGTGATCTCTCTCTGTCAAATAAATACATAAAATTAAAAAAAAAAAAGAATCTCTGTTCCTTTGCACGAACAAAGATAACAAGGGGCATTAACAGTTACTGACATCATTCTTCTGCATTTTAAAATACATACATAAAATACATATGCATAATTACTTATTGTCTAATTCCCACTAGATGTAAGCTCCAGGAAAGTGATATATTTTTTTAATTTTTCATTTTTTAAATTTATTTTCAGTGTACCAGAATTCATTGTTTATGCACCACACCCAGTGCTCCATGCAATACGTGTCCTCCACAATACCCACCACCAGGCTCACCCAACCTCCCATCCCCTGCCCCTTCAAAAACCTCAGATTGTTTTTCAGAGTCCATAGTCTCTCATGGTTCGTCTCCCCCTCCAATTTCCCTCAACTTCCTTCTCCATCTCTCCATGTCCTCTGTGTTATTTCTTATGCTCCACAAATAAGTGAAACCATATGATAATTAACTCTCTCTGCTTGACTTATTTCACTCAGCATAATCTCTTCCAGTCCAATCCATGTTGATACAAAAGTTGGGTATTCATTCTTTCTGATGGAGTCATAATACTCCATAGTATATATGGACCACATCTTCCTTATCCATTTGTCTGTTGAAAGGCATCTTGGTTCTTTCCACAGTTTGGCGACCGTGGCCATTGCTGCTATGAACATTGGGGTACAGATGGCTCTTCTTTTCACTATATCTGTATCTTTGGGGTAAATACCCAGTAGTGCAATTGTGGGGTCCTAGGAAAGCTCTATTTTTAATTTTTTGCGGAATCTCCACACTGTTCTCCAAAGTGGCTGCACCAACTTGCATCCCTACCAACAGTGTAAGAGGGTTCCCCTTTCTCCACATCGTCTCCAACACACGTTGTTTCCTGTCTTGTTAATTTTGGCCATTCTAACTGGTTTAAGGTGGTATCTCAATGTGGTTTTAATTTGAATCTCCCTGATGGCTAGTGATGATGAACATTTTTTCATGTGTCTGATAGCCATTTGTATGTCTTCATTGGAGAAGTGTCTGTTCATGTCTTCTGACCATTATTTGACATGATTATCTGTTTTGTGTGTGTTAGTTTGAGAAGTTCTTTATAGATCCTGGATATTAGCCTTTTGTCTGTACTGTCATTTGGAAAGCGATATTTTTTACCCATTGTACCCCTGGTGTCTAAAATGTTACCTACTATAATATACATAGTTTAAGTATTCTATTGTGTTTTCACTTTAAAAATTTACATAATTTCAGATACCTTCTTACGTAGAATAACAACACCCTATTCTTTCGTTAACATACCATCGTCTGCCAAGTCTTTCAAAAGGGAAGTAGTTTAAAAATAGGACAGCATCTCATTCTTTGGGCCATTGGGATGAATTGATTTAATTTATATTCCTCTGCAGATCTTTCACATCTTCAAGGTTCTTTTATTTTATGACAAAACCATAGTTCTAGAAGCTTGTTCCTCACACCTGAAAAGACTGGATAAGGAACATGATCCTGTAGAACAGAAGAGGTAAGCCTGATAAATCTGAACACAGTGGGGTCTGAAGGTTGGGAAAAAAGGCTGAGTGCTCATGCGTGGTGTTAGTAGTGGGATGTGAGAGAGATTAGTTCAAAGGAAGAGAATTCAAAGAAGAAATGAGTCCATTTACAGAAAGGTGGGGATATTCAGAAGAGGTTGACGACACCAACCATGAAATTTTCCTGGGAAGTAGACCTGTGTATAAGCAATATAAGTGCTGTGGTTTCATGAAGAATGTACTCCTGGAGTACCTGGCTGGCTCGGTCGGTCCATAGAGCATACAACTCTTGATCCTGGGGTCATGAGTTCGAGCCCCACATTGGGTATAGAGATTACTTAAAAAAAAAAAATAATGCATTCCTAAAGACAGCATCATTTAAAATCTGCATAATTCAGGACCAATTTTCTCACGGGACTAGATGAAAAGCAGGTGTATGTTCTTATAAATCTGTAACTATTGTGGCAGATTGTTTTTTTAAGATTTTATTTATTTATTTGACAGAGAGAGAGAGAGAGATCACAAGTACACAGAGGCAGGCAGAGAGAGAGGGGGAAGCAGGCTCCCTGCTATCCCAGGACCCTGAGATCATGACGTGAGCTGAAGGCAGAGGCTCAACCCACTGAGCCACCCAGGCGCCCCGTGGCAGATTTTTTAAAATAGTGCTTTTATATATATCATCATTCTTGCTAGAATATATCATTATTCTTGTTCTAGAGTTTTGACTTCTAAATGCACAGTGTGATCTATCAAAGTTTATTTTATTTTATTTTATTTATTTGACAGAGATCACAAGTAGGCAGAGAGGCAGGCAGAGAGAGAGGAGGAAGCAGGCTCCCCACTGAGAAGGGAGACTGATGCGGGGCTCCATCCCAGGACACTGGGATCATGACCTGAGCTGAAGGCAGAGGCTTTAACCCACTGAACCACCAGGCGCCCCATCAAAGTTTTTACTTAAAGTTCTTTACAGTGTTTTAGCACACCTGACTTGTATTCCAAAATTATTGATTTGAGGCCTATTTTCCCAGCAGTGGCACCACATCCAATCAATGCTTGGAGATTAAAAAATTTTAATTATAATACAAAAACACAGCAACACAATAACAAACAAAATCACCACCAGAAGTGCTTCCTACCTGTAAACAACACGATTCACATCATTAACAAACTGTGGCAGGTGTTCCTTTCTAAGGTGTTAATCCTACTAAGGAACCAGAAGAGCATATACAGTTTCAACTCATAAAACTAAAATTATTTTTTACTGCTTTTTAAAAAAGTGTTAATCCTACTAAGGAACCAGAAGATCATACAATTTCAACTCATAAAACTAAAATTATTATTATTATTATTATTATTATTTTAAGATTTTATTTATTTATTTGAGAGAGAGGCAGTGAGAGAGAGCATGAGCGAGGAGAAGGTCAGAGGAAGAAGCGGACTCCCCATGGAGCTGGGAGCCCGATGCGGGACTCGATCCCGGGACTTCGGGATCATGACCTGAGCCGAAGGCAGTCGTCCAACCAACTGAGCCACCCAGGCGTCCCCTAAAATTATTTTTTACTGCTTTTTAAAAAATTGGGGCACTATACATTTGTTCACATTTTGCTTCTAAGACACTATTTTTATATCGTACACATTCTAGATTGGCAGCCCCTCTTAAGTGTGTCTTCTTGAGTGAGGAAAGAGGTCAGTAAAGTGATGAAAAGACATTGATGCAACTAGAAACGATCCCTTCAGCTTTGGAACTCTAAGGCAACTGTCTGCAAATAATTTGTAACATCTATGTTATTGTTTTGAACTGATATTCTGAATGTTTATTGCTGTGTTTGGGGGCAAAATCATCTCAAGAACCACTCTTGTAATTATCCCCTGTCTCCTCCATCATTAGCGTTCTCCGCTATACTGTATCATACATAGGAGTAGAGTCAGTAGTGTGGTGGTAAATGTTTAATATCCAGCTTTGGGGGGTGGGGTGAGTGGGGGAAAGCCTTAGTTGGTAGTGGTGTGGTGTAAATACTTCCAGTCGTGGCCAATTTCAAGATACCAGCATGGAAATGAGGTGCAAAATTGGGTCTCCCAAGCCAGTATGATCCAGCTCCAATATATCCCTGAAAATGTTTTTCAAACCTCAGTTGATAACGCGCTAATGGGTCTTGCAAACATTTTAGTGGCAGCATTTTTTAAATGAAAAATTAGAGTGCTTTGCATAACAAGAGTATTGTTTTGCAAAGTTTTTTTCATAATTTTAAATATGTATGCGACAAGTCACAATGTACATGTAGTTCTTATTGTGGCTTACTCAATTGAGTCTACAAGGCACCACTGTAGTATCTTCTTTTTTTAAAGATTTAATTAATTTATTTGAGAGAGAGAGCGCGCACAAGTGTGCATGAAATGGGGGTGGGAGGGGAGAAGAGGGGAGGGTAGTGCGTGACCTGAGGTGGGAGAGTGGGAAGGAGGGGCAAAGGGAGAGCGAGAGACAAGCAGACTCCACGCCTATTGCTTGAACATGAAATCTTTGCGGTGCCTAATAGAAAACAGATGGCAAGCAGCCAGCTGTTCAAGCAGCTTACATAACTTGATTTGCATTTGTTTTTACAGCAAACCAGCGGCCAGTGTGGGTCCCTGACTGAGAAATCGGTTATTTACTGGACATCTAAGTCTGCTCGTAACTGTGCCCCATCCTGCTGGCACTGTTCCCTAGGGGAAGCGTGTAACTTAGAAAACCAACTCGTCAAGTACTTGACGAGTCGTCCACAGCTGCGGCAAGTCCAAGTTAAAGTAGCCCGGCGCGGCGCGCGGGGCTGGGCGCCGTGCTGCGGTACCGAACCCGCTCCCCGCCCATGTCACGGGTACCCAGGTTGTGTACGGGCAAAAAGGGGCGCCTCCAGGTCGGGTTATCTTTCACAGCACCATCTGCACTCTGACCCGAGGCAGAGGCCGGGACACGTGCGCGGGCGGAACACGCGGGGCCCAGGGCGCTCCAGTTTTCTCCTTTCCAGCCCATTTCCCCGCTCTCCCACCCCGACCACGGGGCAGGCGAGCCGGGCAGAGGCAGGCGGGCGCGCTCAGGAATTCTTAAAACACACCCTGTTGTCCTCCCTCACCGTCCGTCCCGCAGCAAGCCGAAGGCGGAAAGTCCGCCTGGGGGCGATCCGGGGCCACAGGCGCGCAGCGCCCTGACCGCGCCCAACACACGGAGGCGGGCCCGCCGGCGACGCCCTCCGGGGCCTGCGAACCGCGAGACGGAGGCGGACTGACTCCTCTGGCTTGCCGTAGTCGCCCACGCCTCCCGGGGTCCCGGGGACGCGCTGCGGCAGAAGAACAGCCCGGTGCGCGCCGGACGCCTGCGACGCCAGTCCGCGGGTGAGTCGGCCGACTGCGGTTCGCTGGGGGCGCGGCGGCAGAAGAGGGGCCGCGGACTTCGCCGTCTGCGAGTCGGAGTTTGGTGTCTGGGACATCTGGGGGGCGCCCATTCCGCAGGTTCTCTCCGCGGCCGCGTGGGGCGGGGTGGCGGGAGGCTCCCGGGAGGGACTCGCCGCGGGACCTGTGGCCCGGCCCTCCCGGCTGCGGCTGCCCCACCGCAGACCCTCCCCTCCGCACCTGCTGGCTTCCAGCCCCAGCCGAGCGCCGCCTGCACCCGGGGGGTCTGGACACTTGGGGACGGACCTCCTCTGCTTTCCGGACTCTCCGCAGACACGTTCGTTCAAGATGCCGAGTCATTTGCAGCGTTAAAAAGTTGGGAGCGTAGTAGCTTTGACTGTCGGTGAAACGTGATGGTGGCATTTTGTGAAGCGAATAAACAGCGGGACCCGTCCCTTTGGGAATGACTGGTTTCACGCAAGCCTGTGGTTTAAACCGGGTACTCTCTGGTCTTGATGTAAATTATCAGTGTGGCCGTGGCATCTCTGTCCTTTCTGTTTGCTCGGATTCACCCTTCCTGAATTTGACGGAGCGGAAGGGTTTTGAGGTTTTGACTAATGTCTAAATTGATGGCAGGCTGGGGTTACATTTAGGTGGTAAACCTAGAGGGAGGCAGTATTTTGTTCATAGAAACTCGTAGATGCGGTTACTGCGTATTTGTGGTGCGGTGTAATGACAATTGGCGGAAGTAAATGTAGGAAGCTTCACTTTCGTTTCTCTTTTAGTTCTGCTCGACGACTTCAAGGATTCCTTGGAGCTAGTTAATGTGAACTTCTATCAGATGAGTACTTTTATCTTAATGCGCAGCAGCCCCCGCCCCTCCCCGCCGGTAGTAGTAGTTGTTTTAAGCCACAAGGGAGACTATGATATCATTGTTATCGAAGGGATTGGTGGTTTTTTTTTTGTTTTTGTTTTGTTTTGTTTTGTTTTTTTCAGATTTTATTTATTTATCTATTTGAGAGAGAGAGCGGGAGCATGAGCCCGGGGAAGGGACGGAGGGAGAGGGACAAGCAGACTCTCCGGGGAGCTGGGAGCCCAGATCAGGACCCCAGCCAGAGTCAGAGCTTAACTGACTGAGTCACCCAGGCACCCCTGGATTTTTTTTCTTTTTGCCTTGTTTAATGTGGAGGAGGAAGAGCAATGGCTCCTATTAAAATAAGAGCAAGCATTTATAAAGCACTTACTATTCCACTGTTTTATTAATTCATTTAATCGGAACAAACCTGTAAGGTGAATGCAATTCTTATTCTCACTTTACAGGTGAGAAGAGTTAAATGAGTATCTTTAGTAATTGTACAGGACTCTTTGCTATTATTTTATTTTTAGTAATAAATTCCACATTAGAGATTTTCTATGCATGTATTCTAAATTTATTATTTGGTTTTATTTTTGTTTGAGCAACTTTAGGATTTGGGTGGCAAAAATAAGGGACAATTAGTGCTAATTTTGCTTATCACAATTAACATTGTCTTTCCTCCTGCTGTTACTAACTTGCCTGCATGATCCGATAAACTTGGTCTTCTTTTTTAATTGAAGAATAATTGACATATATTGTGTTAGTTTCAGGTGTAACATTGAGTCTGTATTTACAAAGTTTATATACGTTATTTATGAAATGATCACAATAAATCTAATGAACATCTACCACCACAAAGTTGTTACAGTATTATTGACTATATGTATATGTAGTAAACGTCGGTTACTATAATGGAACCAACAGGAGTCTGCTCCGTGATGAGTCAGAGATAGAAACTACACCCTGGTGAGTTGTCCCACAGAGGAAGCTTTGTTTGCATCAAATAAGGAGATTCTGGGGAATAACTTTCAAAGCTGGGACTCCCCTAGGCAAGGTGAATGGGTTGTTATGTAAGTGAAGTTTGTGCTTCTCCTGGGTATTACATTAGTATTATAATGACGTCAAGGTAATTGTTGGTTATTCTGGAGGTCACTCCTTGGTCCATCTGTACAAGCCTGAGCAGGGGTTTAGGGCCACCAGAGTTCTTCCTCTGGTCATTATTATTTTTATTTTTATTTATTTATTTGAGAGAGAGAGAGAATGAGAGGAGAGAGGTCAGCAGGAGAAGCAGACTCCCTGCAGAGCAGGGAGCCATATTCGGAACTCAATCCCGGGACTCCAGGATCATGACTTGAGTCCAAGGCCCAGGTGCACCTTTGGTCATTATTGATTGAGATGTTTCCATCATGGGATATTATGCCACAGGGTCTTTTGCCTAAATTAAGACGTAAGCTGTAAAGAAGAGCTTAAGGAAAAATGCAGGATACCAAGGTTGGTGGGTAGAAGGAGGTGGGTGGTAAAGGTCATGTGTTGGGGGTCTAGTTGGTGATGTCACCCTACAAGATTGTTACAATATTAGTGACTATATTGCGCATTATATCCCTTTTATTATTTACTTTATAACTGAAAGATTCTGTCTCTTAATTTCCTTTACCTGTTTCCTCCATCCCTCCTACCCCTGTTCCTTCTGGCAACATGGGTCTCTTTTCTGTTTTGTTACATACTTCACTTAGCCTAACACCATCAAGATCCATCTGTGTTTGTTACAAATGTCAAGATGTCATTACTTCTTATGTCTGAGTCATATTCCATTGTACAAATAAACCACATCTTTACCAGTTCAACTATGATGGACATTAGGTTGCTTCCATATCTTAGCTATTGTAAATGCTGCTATGAACACAGGATTATATATGCCTTTCCTAATTCGTGTTTTTTATTTTCTTGGCTAAATATCAAGAAGTGGAATTGCTGGACCATATGACAGTTGTATTTTTAATTTTTGGAGGAACTTCCATGCTGTTTCCCACAGTGGCTGTACCAGTTTACATTCCCACCATCAGTGCACCAGGGTTCCCTTTTCTCCACATCCTTGTCCACACTTGTAATTTCTTGTCTTTTTGATTTTAGCCATTCTGACAGGTGTGAGGTGATCTCTCATTGTGGGTTTGGTTTGCATTTCCCTGGTGGTTAGTGATGTTGAGCATCTTTTCTTGTACCTGGTGCTTATCTGTATGTCTTCTTTGGAAAAAGGCCTATTCAGGTATTCTGTTCATTTTTTAATCATACTGTTTGCTTGATACTGAGTTGTATTATTTTATGTATTTTGGATATTTTATGTATGTATTTTATGTATTTTGGTTGTTAACCCCGATTGGGGTGTAATTTGCAAATATCTTCTCCCATTCAGTAGGTTTCCCTTTTGTTTTGTTGATGGTTTCCTTCACTGTGCAAAAGCTTTTTATTTTGTTGTTGGCCCATTTGTTAATGTTTTGTCCTTGCCTGAGGAGACAGAGCCAAAAAGATGCTGTTGACACTGATGTCAAAGAGCTTACTGCCTATGTTGTATGAGTTTTATGGTTTCAGGTCCTATATTTTGTAAGTTTTTAACCCGTTTTTAGTTTATCTTTGTATTTGTTACAAGAAAGTGGCCCAGTTTCTCTTTTGCATGTAGCTGTCCACGTTTTCAATGTCAGTTATTAAAGAGACTGTCTTTTCCTCATTGTTGCCTCCTTCGTCCTAAATTAATTGACCATGTAACCATGGGCTTATTTCTGCACTCTGTTGTGTTCTGTTCATCTCTTTGTTTTTTATTACTCTACCTTGTAGTGTACTTCGAAATCTCGGAGAATGATACCTCCAGCTTTGTTCTTCTTGTCAGGATTGCTTTGGCTATTTGTTTTTTGTTTCTGTTTGTTTGTTTGTTCTGTTTGTTCCATACAGATTTTAGGATTATATTTTCTAGTTCTGTGAAAAATGCCATTGGTATTTTGATGGGGATTGCATCAGATCTTTTTTTTTTTTTTTTAAGATTTTATTTATCTATTTGACAGAGAGATCACAGGTAGGCAGAGAGGAGAGGCAGGCAGGGAGGGGGGAAGCAGGCTCCCCGTGGAGCAGAGAGCCAGATGCAGGGCTCAATCCCATCATGACCTGAGCCCAAGGCAGAGGCTTTAACCTGCTGAGCCACCCAGGTGCCCTGCCTCAGCTCTTCTGATTGCTTAGGGTAGTTTGGACATTTTGACATTATTAATTCTTCCATTCGGTGAACATCGTATATCTTTCTATTTATTTGTGTCCTCTTCAGTTTCTTTCATCAGTGTCTTAGAGTTCTGAGATTCTAGGTCTTTCACCGCCTTGATTAAGTTTATCTCTAGGTACTTTATTCTTCTTGATGTAATGGTAAATGGGATTGTTAATATCTGTTCCTGAGATTCTACCTGTGATCTCTGTCTGTCAAATAAATAAATAAAATCTTTTTTTTTTTTTAAGATTTTATTTATTTATTCGACAGAGATCACAAGTAGGCAGAGAGGCAGGCAGAGAGAGAGAGAGAGGAGGAAGCAGGCTCCCTGCTAAGCAGAGAGCCCGATGTGGGGCTCGATCCCAGGACTCTGGGATCATGACCTGAGCGGAAGGCAGAGGCTTTAAACCACTGAGCCACCCAGGCGCCCCTAAATAAATAAAATCTTAAAAAAAAAAAAAAAGTGGATATTGAATTTAAGCAAATGATTTTTCTGCATCTATCGAGATGTTCATATGATTTTCATTCTGTTTTGTTAATGTGGTACAGCATGTTAAATTGTAAGGACCTATTTTATATTTTTATTTTAGCCAGAGGCTTCTATTGAGGTTAAACAATAACTTTGTTGTTTAACCCTTAAACTGTCCCTGCTCCCCTTCCCCCAGGGGACCTACTTAAAAACAAGTCCCAGAAACCAGCTCCAAGTAACAGAGCTCAAATACAAGGGTGGGTCAGTCCAGGTGGAGACATTAGATTAATGGGGGGGATGCATACTGTCTCCCTAGTTACCAAGGAGTATGGGCCCCGCTCTTTGGGAGCCTTTTGGGCGCCAATCCCAACCAAGGTGATAGGCTGGGTCAAATGTCTGCTAGGGTAAATTGTAACTCAGTTGGTCACCTAGCA